GGCATCTACTTTGTTGGCGTCCGAGATCTTATTTACTCGTAGGAATGCATTAATCCTTTCTTCGTATGTTTCCCAATCTGACTGAGATTCATCGAAAGGTTCTACTTGCCCAATCGTGGCCATCCTGGATGCTTCCGAGTGTGGTCCTTCTTGGACGCCTGGTTGATTCTCCGTCTTAACGGTCCCCGTCGAAGTGCTCATCAGTCTGCGTCATCCCATCCTTGTCGCCAAGAAGTTGTTGTGTCTTGGAAGTGGGACACCAGCCGAGTAGTAACAACAACTTGGTTTTATTGACAGCCAGCCGTAAGACCGCGCATACCGCTGGTCCTAAAACACTCTCCTGTGTCAAAAGCCGTGCTGTGCTTATATCAGCAAAGAGGACGAGAGGGAAGGGGGGCGGCGCCCTAGCTTAGACACGTGGCGATGACATAGCTGATTGCTATCGGAATACAAACACTACAGCAGAACCCAGGGATCCTGGGTTCAGTCCCCACCCCTGCCCGTTTCGATTTGGATGAGCGTCGTATACCGGTCTGCGGTCGTGTATCACTACTGCGTGGTGCAGGTCAAAGGTCCCAGGTTAGCACTGGCTACATTTCTCATCCACAGCCGAGTCACAGACGCCCACTAAGGCTGATTAACCTCCAGTGGTGTATGTAAATATGAACCGAACACACTTATTATTATTATTGGGAGCTTTAGAATAGGTTGTCCCAACGTTTTATGTCCCCCAAGTTGCTTGGGGCTTCGCACTGCTCGCGCATGCGCAGCGCTTGATCAATGCGGCGCCCCAGGCTGCTCAGGGCACCGGAAACGTTAGGGCCACCTATTCTAAAATTCCTTAATAAGGCTTCACCTGCTGTAGCGCTCGTCAAGCTGAAACACTCTCGGGAAGCCGCGGTCCTCCGCAGGGTTTCACCGAAGCGTTACTGAAACGTTAAAACGTGGCAGGGGTCGTGCGCACAGGCACGTCCCAGCCACGCGTCCTGCCAGCCTTCGGCGGAGTTGGTCCGCGGAACAAAGGGCTGGGTGCGGGCGTCAACCCACCGTTCTGCCAGGCTACGTCCGCGCGGTGGAAGTCGTCGTCGTCGTCGCCGCAGCAGCGGCGGCCACGCACGCAGCGTATCTCCTGTGCATTCGTCGATGGTTCGGTGGCGGCGGCACGCCCGACGACAAGCCACAGGATGCGCGCCACAATGACGCGGGCGGAGCCACAATGGCCCCCGCGTTCCGCCGCTGAAACCGAGGGCCCCGCCGTACTCCCTCCAGTCCCCAGCTGACAGTGCGGGGGGAGAAACGCGCTCGCCGGAACAATCCACCGCGCCTTCCTTTCATCACTTGACCCCACTTTCTGCTTATGGGCATGCATGGGCAGGAGCGAGATCACGTGGCGAAAGATCTACATATAGTTCGTCCAGTGAGAACGTAGCCTTCACCGCACTGTCACCTGTGGGGTAAACGGAACAGACAAAGCCCGCCTGGTGGCACAGACGCCGGCGATGGCAAACAACAAGAAAACGGCAAACAAACGCGTGCCCGCTTTACTGATATGCCGCAAAAAGGGGCGTTGTGCTCTTTAAACCCACGAGTGTGATTTATCTGCTACAGTGGGCGAATTTTCCGAATTCATTGTTTCAGAGAATTTACTTACGGTAGATGTACATAAATATCACGAATCCAACGATCGGAGCTGGACTGCATTATTAAAGGTGTGATACAACATTTTTTGTACTTTCAGTGAATACCACTTATAATTATTGCTTGTCGTTCATAACCTATGAAGCACGCCTTATTTCTTTTTTTTTTTTCTTCTCCAATAGTCGCAAAAATAAATGGAGAAAAACGAGCAGCGTTTACTCGTGACTGCCTGGAGCTGAGCCGGTTGGTATGGCATGATTTCTGAAGGTTTCCAGCTGAACGTAGAAGTAAAAACCAAGGAGTGGAGAAAAAGAGACACACACTGCTGGACTATCAACCATTTACTGATATTCTTCCTTTTCCTTTTCATCGACATTCATGAATTAAGCTATTTACTGGAATTTTTTTTTTCTTTTTAACTTCTTTTTCGGTATGACATTTGGTGGCTAGCGTTCACATGTTCATGACTTGGTTCCCCACTTGGGGCGCCCCCAGAAGATACAGTTTTTCTTTCGAAAATAGCGTGATGAAGCGGCACTCACGCAGTCATCCCCGTGCGCCTCAATAGCTAGAGATTCCAGGATTTCCCTTGCAAGCTGGTTTTTGTGCTTTCCGACGATGGTAATGTTTTCGAAATCAGGAGCACATTGGCATATGCGGCAATGCGCCGGAAGATGGCCAGCTGACATTAGTGTGCCAATGGAAGCTGCATGCTCCCTGGTGCGGTCGTTAATACACCGCCCAGTTTGTCCAATGTAGCTTTTGCCACACGACAACGGAATACGGTACACAACTCCTTTTTCGCACGGGGCGTACGTTGTTCAGTGCGCGATGCCGCAGGTGGACCTCTGATTTTGGTCATTCCTACAATTTACCTTACGGCACATAGCATATGCCTTGTTGGGGGCTGAGCATACGACCTGTACGCCTTGTCGGCCGGCGATCTTTTTTAGGCGATGCGTTATCCCGTGGATGTATGGCATCACCACAAAAGGTTTGGGGGGCTTCTTTTTCGTTGGTTGTGCATTGGTTTCCTGTTTTTGCCGCACTTTCTTGCAGAGGGTCTCGCATACCGGTATTAGGAGTGTACTTGCGTAACCAAATGTCATACCGAAGAAGAAGAAGTTACCTCTGGGATCTCAATCGTATAAGTCATGAGGGTAGATAAAAAAGAGAAAAGAAAAAATTCCATTAAATAGTTTAATTCATGAATGTCGATGAAAAGGAAAAGGAAGAATTTCAGTAAATGGTTGATAGTCCAGCAGTGTGTGTCTCTTTTTCTCCACTCCTTGGTTTTTACTTCTACGTTCAGCTGGAAACCTTCAGAAAGCGTTTACTCCCTCAACCCACAGCCAGAACAAGCCGCCACGTGATCTGGAGCCGATGATATGCCGCCAGTGTTTATTATATCCACGCGTTGGGTTCGGCAAAGCACAGGGCACGCGCCGAATTGCACATATTGTGAAGGTTCGGCTAAAGACACCGGATCTCGGAAAGTAGCGGCATTGCCTTCCCACCTGCTAGCCGGACACACACAAATACCAACATACATACGACACAACCTCTCAAGGTGATTGGCTCATCGCTTTCGGTTGCCATGGTAATTGCCACTTTCGGACCCTTTCAAAAGTGCGAAGCTTCCGAAGGGTCAATAAAAACTGTCGCACCAAGATCGCTGTGGAGCATCATTGTACTGAAAGCGTTCCTCGGCCAATGTGGGCGTCTTTGGCACTGTGCATGCAATAAACTTATCACTCATGCTTATTTCCCCAGATCTCTGACAATTATGTTGCTCTTCTTGCTTGTTTCAATACAGTAAAATTATTTTTCAATGTCCCCCAGCACCACCGCCCGCCTGTGATGTCATGAATCTTTGTACCGCCATCACACGCAACGTCAGTGCTTGGAGGTATTGAAAAATAATTTACTGTCTTGAAACACGCAAGAAGAGCAACATAATTGTCAGAGATTTAGGAAAATAAGCATGAGTGATAAGTTTATTGCATGCACAGTGCCAAAGATGCTCATATTGGCCGGGGAACGCCTCCAGTGCGATGATGCTCCATAGCAATCTTGGTGCGACTGGTTTTCACGACACTTTCAAAGCTTTGAATCTTTGGAAGGGTCCAAGATGGCGATTACCATGGCAACCAACAGCCATGAGCCATTCACATTGTGAGGTTTAGTCGTTTGTATGGTGGTGTTTGTGTGTGTCCGGCTAGGAGGTGGGAATGCAATGGCGCTGCTTTCCCAGGTCCAGTGTTTTTCGGTTTGGCTATTCCCGTCATTGCAGCGATTGGGCACGAGTTACTTCCCGAGTGCATGTCGAGGCAGTGTTTGTCACGAACCCAAATTGAACGTTCACGCAGTTCTCGTGCCCCCTATATGAGCCGCAGGGATCGCAAAGCTTGATGACGAAATCTTAAGGATCGCATTGTCATGGCATTGTTGACACTGTCAACAATGCGATCCCTACAACCTCGTCATTAAGCTTGGCGAAGGAGAGACTGAAAGGTAACATCCCATTTTATAGTCTTGGGTGGTAACGCGTTACTGTAACTTCGTTACTTTTTTGGTAACTTGTAACTGTAACGAGTTATTTTTTTAAAAAATGTAACTTGTAACTGTAGTTCTATTACTTTTTCTTAGGTAACGATGGAAGTAACGACGTTACTTTTGTCGTTACTTTCCAGTTTTTTGTGAATACTATATCATTGATCGAGTACAATCTAGCTATCCCTTGCACTTTCCAAAATGTCTGTTCCAACATTTCGAGTGTCAATTTGGCCTTGCACAAACTTGCGTATACCTTCCTTCTCGCGAGTCACGACTTGAATATAGCCACGTTTAGAATTGATGAAAACAAAAAATAGTTATCTTTACAAATGGGATTGTGCTTTGTGACCCAACACTTACATCTTATCTTGAAGCACTAGCTATGTTACGTGTTGTTTTTTTTTTCGTCTTTTTTTTCTGCGCAAAAGATTTTTAATTGGGTGCATCAACCGTGAAACAACAATACACGCGGATGGCACGCGGGTTGCCGGAGTAGTGGCGCATAATGACTTACGTCACTATTCCGGCGTGGTGTCAACAATCGAGGCAAAATTTACTGCTGTTTGCGCGGGGTTTGTTTCTGGCTTGCAGGGTACGAACTAAAATACGTGCAGGGACCCTATGAACCCAGTGCAACCATCAACGAGCCAGCAATGGGCTAGTGCTACTAAGGATAGGGATGTTGATGAGAACAAAGTAGAACTATCATGGCCAGCGTACAGAGAAGAAGAGGAGAGAGAATAGAACTTTATTGTCCCAGCAGTGTCGGTGGGATGACGGGTGCAGCCGTCTCATCCACCGCCGTCCTAGAAGACGGCCGAGATCCCCTGGACCTCGGCGGCTTCTTCGGCTAGCCGGGTCGCCCAGACCTGATCTTGTGGGTCTGACCTGAGCAGTAGGGCCTCCCAATGCTCAGGGTCTTGGATTTTGCGGCCATCAATGGTCGGTGCCGCCCGAAAGCATGCCCATAAGATATGTGGCAGATCCGCCTTCTTCTTACAGAATTTACACGTATTTTCAAATTGTCCCGGGTAGAACCGGCTACAGGCCACCGGGTTCGGGTACATGTTGGTTTGGAGGAGGCTCCAGGCCACCGCCTGCTTCTTAGTGAGTTCAGCTTGAGCCGGTGGGTACCGGGCCCGTCCCAGTCGATAGTGATTCGTAATTTCTGGATAGGTGGACATGCGGTCTCCTCGCGTTCCCGGTTGGGCGGGCTCACTGGCTCGGCGAGTAAGACCTCGAGCTACCGTGTGAGCCGCCTCGTTGCCTGGGAGCGAGGAGTGCGCGGGTGACCAAATAATTTGGATCGTCCCGCGTTGCCGCTGTTGGTGATGGTCACCGTACGTTCTTAAAATTTTGAGCGCCTCTGACGAGCTGCGCCCCTTTGCGAAATTTCGGATGGCGATCTTCGAGTCGCTCATAATAATTTTAGCTTTGGTGGAGGCCACCGCTAGTGCGATGGCCGCCTCCTCCGCTGTCTCGGGGTTGTCCGTCGCCACGGTCCCGCTTACGAGGGGCTCACCATCCGCGCCCACCGCTACGACGGACATGCCCTTGCAATGGACTTCTTCCAAAACCGAGGCGCCCCACCGCGGCGAAATACCACGCAATGCACTCTGGGAACTAGTTGTCCACTCAGTTTCGGTTTCGCCTGGGCAGCTCCATCTCATGCTATCGCTCCGCGACCAAACGCGCTGCTCGCGTTTTCGATTATCTGACTTTTGACGAACGTACAATACACTCATTTTCGAGCGATACAAAACGAAGACTGGGACACTTTCTTTGCTTCCCGAAACACCGGATATTATGAGTGCGTATGCAAACGTAGTAAGACGTGGCTTAGTTGCCTCACCTTTGAGTTCAATTTCAATAATCCCGTCTAGTACTAGTGAACTACAACTGAAATTGGGTCACCTGGAGCCTTAAACGTAGTTTGTTTGCCAAACGTCCGCTTCTTGTTACTTCATTGGGCGAAAAGCAAGCCGCATCCTCACAGAAGTACATATATCAAAGTTGAGCTCAGCGTTGACGCATGAACTTTGAAGGAAACGCAATAACTTCGACCTCAATACTGCACCAAAGTTACTGTGATGTCTTCCTCGTGTCATCATATATCTCCCACTCAAATTTTATGCTGATAGAAGATCAACTTTTCGCAAACGCTGAGATCGGCTAGCTACGACGGAGGCTTTAACAAGCGTCCCCTACTCCTTGCTAAGCCTTTTTGGACGACCTTTTACTGACGCCCAAGATCTGTGCCTGAACGGTGTGTCTTAAATTATCTCGGCATACTCAGTGAGGAAGAAAGCAAACACATAACAAATATTATGGCCATTAGCAACCGTCAAACGCGCTTTGAATTCGTTCGTTTGGCGCACCGCATAGGGGTTCATGCCCGACCGGCGTACTTCTGGCGAACGGTGCGACATTTTTCACACAAATGCTCGACTTTTGCTTTCTTAAAACGGTTTGTATGTGCGAATGTGCCTATACGATTGGCAGGATAACGTTATGCGCATGCGCGATGTTGAATATTAGTAAAATGCGAGTGGGTGGAGACCTCGCTTCGTGCAGTGCTGCGGGTCACTACAGATAAGAGATAAGAAGTGTGTTATAATTGAGCTTTCAATGGTGCCTCCGAGTTTTAAATCGCATACTCACGCGTATTAAGAAAACAGTAGTTGCAAAAAGTAATTTTTCGTCTATGGACGCACGAAAAAAACAAACTTCCTGGCCGACAACACTAATATAAAGGTGCGAGCTCGATGTATGCATACTTATTGGTTGCTACAGCTTGTTGATTCGTACATAAGCATGATCCCCGAGCTTCGCAGCGTCTACATTCCCAGCACTGGCTCGTCCACATACCTCGAAACGCTAACAGAAAGGCTCAAGTACAAAAATACAACAAGCATGTGTTAAGACAAGCTATAAGTCCTTGGCTTGTGCTAAAGCTTCGAGGTCTGGCCATTTAGGTAGGTTTAGAGACCACAAATGACGCTCTCGGGACCAGAAAACAAAAGATAACGGCCGTTAATAGTACACGCTCTGTGTGTAATCTCTTGTCGACGTGTCGATCGAAACAGAAACCATGCCACCCTCCTCCCTGGCCAACTAGTTCCCAGAGTGCAACGCGCGCCGTGTTGCATGCAGGGCTTTATGAAAGTAGTCTATTTCGATATTCCGCGGCATCTACATAAACCACGCCCTCGACGTCTTGGTATATTCGTTCCATGTTGCGAGCTCTTGCCTCCCGTGTCGTACAGAGAGTATTTTTCTGTGGTAAAGGTGGTTGCTAACAAAAGCGTAAACTACTGTACTTTTTAATTTTATGCAAAAAAACTTGAAAAGAAGCGTTTTCTAGTTTTTCCTAATTTTTTGTGTTGTAGAAACGTAACTGAAAAGTAACGTCGTTACTTTTTAGAAGTAACTGTTACTGTAGCGAGTTACTCTTCTGTTGCGGTAACTGTAACGGTAACTTCGCTACTTTTTATGTGAAAGTAATTGTAACTGCAACGAATTACTTTTTAAAAGTAACTTACCCAACACTGATTTTATCCTCGAAATTATGTGGCGATAAAAGAAAGAAACTTCTTGGTCAATGGCGTTCCGTGCCAGTATACTTATTGGGCTCCACTGTACCAGTAAGCTAGTTTTAAATGAGAAGAATTTTTACCCACTATCGTTGCAAAGCCCCTCGCCGCGACTATGTCTATAGATTGGTTCAAGTGTAGTAACAGAGGGTCCACGCCTATTGTGATTTTTTTTTTTTTTTTTTTTTTGGGTTCAGAAAGAGGAATTGAAAGAGTGTGCGCACTTTCGGGTCACTTGTCTCCGCTTTACGCTAGAGCTTAGAGGCTAGAGATTGCGGGATCAAGGCATTGGAAAATGCTCGCCTAACAGCTCGGATTGTGAAAGCAGTTCCTCGGCTGTGCAACGGCCAGTGTCACCCATCCACGATTCGCGGGAATCGTGCTTTGGTTGGCACGCGTGCCCATATACGCCTGGAACACTGGTGCTCACTTCCGGACATCGTTTATCTTCTCTGACTTCAACATAATAGGCTACGCCATGAGATTCTTAAGCTGTTAACCCTTGACTGGCGTGCCCCTCCTTGCGTTACGGCGCGCCAAAGTCGTATTTTGGAACACTTGCTCGCCGTGTGTACCATACAGAAGAACAAAAACAGAAAGAAAGACGCCCCAACCGTTAGCATGCTTCCCTTATTTCTGTGTTTCGGGGTGCATGCGTGAACTCGACTCGCACGACGCCGTTCCATTCGAGAACACACTTTCACAGCTCCCGTAGATCGGGACTCCTCTGACCGTCCTCGATTTACAACAACGCGTGCTTCGCCACGGGGCACAATGTACTCGGGCTCGGTGCGGAGACGCGCGACGCATTCAAAACGGACTGCACCCGCCAACCTTATATACAAAGGCCGTTAGGGTGCTACACTTTCTTCGAGAGCGCCGTGAGTGGGTCAATGGAATGCACCACTCGGGCGGCACTTTGTTGTCGAACTGGCCCCGTGCTCGTGCATCGGAGTGCGTGACTTGGAACTCACGTTTGCAGATCGATCGAAGGCCCAGTTCGGACGGCCATTTTTTTTTTTTCCGGCATGCGGTCGTTGTAAGACGTTTGTGCTGCTTTCTTTATTTCGAACCCGTTCGCGCTGGACATAGAGGTTAATCGTCTAGAACGAAATTAAAGGGTTAGTACATTTTGTTTTAAATATTGGTACTGAACGAGCGAGTTGCTCGGTATTGAGCCCGGTGGGTTCAACACCGTCCGGTCGTGGGCTGCAAACCTGCCCGCAACAGGACGGTCGCGGGCGGGTTTGCCGAAGTTACGAAAATTGAAAGGAAGCGTTTTCGCTCTTACTCCAGATGTACTAAAACGGCTATGGACATTGTGTGAAGCAGAAATGGATGCGAGGAGCAAGTCGTCTGCTTCTTGCGCAGAAGTTGGTGTGACGTCAAACGGATGCCGAGCTCCGATTGGCTTTGATTGAAAGGAGAGTGGGTAGACCCCAATTCTGAAAGGCTTGACGTCTACCCACTATTCTTTCGATCAGCCATTATAAGGACTCGGCGTTCTGATTTCATCGCCACTCCTGTGCAAGAAGCAGACGAACTTGCGCTCCGCACTATTTTTTCAACGTCACTCGAGGTGGCTAGTTCTTTACGTTAAAAGCAGTGGAAGGACCTAGTCCCACCAACTTAATTTTTGAAACGTCCCAAAGGAGAGGGAAGTACACTGCGAGACACTGCTAGCGGGTGCATAACATCACATCACACACACACACACACACACACACACACACACACACACACACACACACACACACACACACACACACACACACACACACACGCACACACACACACACACACACGCAAGCACGCACACGCACGCACACGCACACGCACGCACACACACACAAACGCACTCGCACGCACGCACGCACGCGAGCGCACGCACACACACACGCAAACAAACTAACAAACAAACAAACAACAAACACCAACAAACCAAACTTTACAACTTGAGATGTGTTGCTTTTTTTGGCAGCTGATTCCGAGAAGAAAACAACGAAATCGGCGGTCGCTTGTTTATGCTGAGATTGTGGCTCTATGCATAGCCTCCTATGACAACCTGCCATCAGTCTTTTATATGGCAGTAATTAGTAAGTACAGTCGGTTACATTTAAGGTTGCTGAGTAGCTTGTAGTTGCGATTAACTGTATTTTTCAGGTAGTGAATAAAAGGATCTGATTCACAAGTTGAACCGAAACTCAATCAGCAACATAATTAAACTTCTGGTAACATACTACGGGAATTTTTTTATTTTGTTTTATTGGGAGCTTAGGATAGTTATTCATGTATCGTGCAAGTCTTACTACACTACTAAACTTCTCATTTAGGCCAACAGCGCAATATGGTATCTACATTTGGGGTTGCAATTGTAGGTTTAACTCATTAAAGTTCACAACCAGCTCAAAATCGAAATATCCCTTTACTCACCCTCAAACACACGCCAAAAATAAAAATTAAATACTCGCTCACCTCCAATTCGTCACTCATAAACTCACGAACTGAGAGGACTCAGAAACTCATTGAACTCTCGAACTCACGAACTTACGAACTCATGAACTCTGATCACGAACTCACCGAACCTATGAGCTCTTGTTTCCACTCACCCTCCCTAAAACTCGGAGCAGTTCTCACCCCCTTGCGCACTGGTCTGAATGACCAGAGTCCAAAAACCAAATAATTAAAATATTTTAGTAACAAAAAAGAAACTACAATTAAACGGCAAAATAATCAGAGGGCTTGTAGAGGCTGGTTTACACTTCTGCGTCTAGGGGAGATCGATTTTCTTGCAACCGCCTGTAACCGCTGACGACGAGAACACGCTGGGGCACACTGGAGCCCTCTGTTAGGTAGAAATGGAACCCTTTCAATCTGCGTATAACTAAACTGGTAAGGTTTAGCATTATGCGCGAGAGCAAATCTACGCATTACCTACGAGAAATTGTTTCTTATAATGCCGTCAAAATTATTTCAACCGACAAGGCGTGGAGGTGGGTAGTAGGCTTAGCCTAGCTTCAAAGAAAAATAAAACAGCACGAGAACGCGGAAAACGAGATGAATGAGCACTCAAACACAGCGCTGTGTTTGTGTGCTCTTTTATCTCGCCTTCAGTTTTTATTTTTCCTGTTGTTCCTTTTACTTAAGTTATATACGCGGACCAAATGTGTTCCAAATATACCCTATGCACTGTAAAAAAAAAAAAAAAAAGCGAGCGCGATTTAGTTTTTTAGGGGACTAAATGCACTGACACTACCACTTGTCCCCTGGGGCACTAACGGGGACTGGAGCAGCTTTTGCGCCCCTCCCGTTAGTCCCTCAAAGTTGAACCCACAAAACTAACCTTTCTACCCTTGCATTTAGGCCGCTGGGACTACCATGCTGCGCCCTTACCTTATTTATTACTAAATGGCGCCCTTACAAACCTAGGTGGCGTTAGTCAACGTCAAATTCAAAATTTGTAAAAATAGAATATCACTGGGATAGATCTTCTCTTCGCTCATTAATTCACATTCGAACAGCACTCATTTCACATTTGCATACGTATTATACATTTAACATAGACAAGGAATTAGAACACTGATGACACAGGCACAACAAACACGCGACGACACGCTAATCCAATCACCACCCCCAAAGGTTACCCATGCGCCTTTTATACAGAACATTTGAAAGAAGTCGTTTGGTCAGTGACCATCTCGACCGAGAACGATGTTACAAGTATGGTGCTGCTTTCGCACCAATATAGTTCTCCAATATTGTTGCTAAACATTCCATTACTAAGAAATAACGGTACACATAGTAATTATTTGACAGGTCTGGAAAAACACTTCCCCGTGGGCTTTCATTAGGCATGTTCTCGCTTACCCGCATAGACTGCCCCACTTTGCGCATGCGCGTCTCCGTGCCAAGCGCATCGTCTCTTACGAAAAGAAAAAAAATATTTTGAAGAATACAAAAAAAGAAAGAAAATGTAATGAGCCTTGTTTTGTCTTTGGAAACGTCTTTACCACAAGCTACGTGGCTGTTTTCATCCTAGTTGAACCGAAAAGAAAATATAAACGCTTCTGAAGCACGTTCCAAACAATGCAAAGGGAAAGGACGCCAGCACAACGGTGAAAAGCCGCATGGCAGTGCATCAACAATGGCCGGGCTCGCGTCAGCGCTGGCTTCCACGACGTGCTCAAACAGAGGCTGCGATCGTTATAAAGTCAGCTCCAACCCTTAAAATGCCCCCTCCTGCAATATTTGATGCCAAGATTGTCTGTGGATACCTTTTACTGCGTTCCAAAACAGTAAGTGCGTCGCTAACGCTGGCCATCGGCGGTGCAGCAGACGCCGCCATCTCGTCCACGCGTTTAGACCACGACCAAATCTCTATATGCACCCCACGGTGTAAGATAATAGTCTTCAGGTGAGGACAGCGCGCTCCTCGCGCAGTGCAGATAAAGTTCGCTTTTCACTCTCTCTCTTTCTCTCTCTCACTATGGTTTCAAGCGGCGCCGGCAGATGACTCGTCGACGCGTGGGCACGGCATGAGGCGGCTCGTGCTGCCTTATGCTCCACACGCGCAGAGCTCCAGCGAGGTTGTCGCTCGTGCAGAAAGACCACGGTGTACCGGGGTGTCATGGCAACGAGATTTTTTTTTTTTTTCGCTCTCACACAGTTTCGCCGTTTGGCCGCCGGCGACACTGTCAGCCGCGGGCACCGTGGCCGCGTAATGATGCAGCCTTTCGGATGCCCGTCGAACGAACACTATCTGATTAACGAACAAAAAGTAAGGGCGCAAACGTGCTGGTGTACAAACATGGTTGAAAAAACCCCGAGACTGCGGGTAAACGACACAACACTAAAAAGTCTCAACTTTCTGATTATCTGATTCCTCGCGCCGCGCGTTCAGCCCCGCCGTGTCCTCACCGAAAGAGTGTATCTTACACCGTGATGCACCCTGTATCAGGAGGACTAATGCTCCCGCATGCCTCTCGGTCAGTCCCGGTCAAATGCAGTTAGTCCTCAGTATTTGCGCACAATACCTAGCTCGACCCAGACGGTCTCTTCGGGGAGCAAGTTCGGAGGACCAAATGCTGCCGTTAGTCCTCTGAAACCATCTTTTTTTCTTAGAGTGTATCTCAAACGCAAATGGGTGAACCAGCCTTATTGAGACGTTGTGCGGTTGCCCCCCCTGCAGTGCATATGTGTGATAGTTTGTGACTGATCTTATTTCGAGCAAGCGGGCCAGTTGACCTCAGCTGACGACCTCGGGCTGGTATACAAGCGCCAGACTCATGCACGCAACCGGAAGACTATCGGAAGCGGGGCTACTCGAGCGATAGGTGCGGTGGCGATCAAAACAATAAGAACGACAGCAGCGAACGATGCACACCGTCGAGCTCACCAGGGGATCCAGTATGGCCTTCCAGAAGAGTGGCTTTAGGTCGCGGTCATTGCACAGTACGCACAGCTCATTGTTTGCCAGAGGGCTAGCCGCCACAAAGGGTTGAAAGGGGCGATGCAACGATTTTTGTACTTTCCTCCAATATCGCTTAGGGCGAATCCCTGGCGTTAATGACCCGAACACGCATTCGTCATTCGTTTTTCACCACAAACAATAAAAATTGCAGAA